CCCAGAGAGTCTGAGGGGACAAGCCCCGAAGCTCCCTCTCTCCCTCCCCCTGGGACACCAAACAGCCCTCGACAGTCCCTGTTCAGCACTGCTCACTGGCCCTGCCTCCTGCCCAGCACATGGACAGCTGGCGGTGGGACACCTAGGGGAGGGGGCACCGGGTGTCTCGGCAACGAGCTTGTTTTCCTTTCCATTACAGGCAGTGGGCCACAGCCGCCAGTTGCTGCTGGCCCATTTGTTGCTATTGGCATCCCAAGGCCCCAAATTATGATGACTAATTCCCACCGCTTTAGGTAGCTCCAGGGCTGTCTTCGACAACATGCTCCAGGGGGAGCAGGGTAGAAACCCCCGCAGGGAGCACGGTAACACCCGACATCAATTCCACATCAGCCTCCTGCCTCCCAGAGGAGCTAGGAGTCAGGAGGGACAGGGAGTGGGCTCCAGCCAATCAGAGGAAACCACAGCCAGATGGAAAACCAGCTATAAGGAGGCCAATTTTCTTTTTTTTCTTTTTTTTTTTTAGACAGAGTTTCGCTCCTGTTGCCCAGGCTGCAGTGCAATGGCACGATCTCGGCTCACCACAACCTCCGCCTCCCGAGTTCAAGCGAGTCTCCTGCCTCAGCCTACCGAGTAGCTGGGATTACAGGCATGCATCACTATGCCCAGCTAATTTTGTATTTTTAGTAGAGACGGGGTTTCTCCATGTTGGTCAGGCTGGTCTCAAACTCCCGACCTTGGGTGATCCACCCGCCTTGGCCTCCCAAAGTGCTGGGATTACAGGCATAAGCCACAGCGCCTGGCTAAGGAGATCAATTTCTTCATCAACATAAAACATAACAAGCTTTTGTTGAGAGGTAGTGCGTCCTCCGTTATCAAGGGTTTATAAGCAGAGATCAGACGGCCCAGTGGGCAGAGGATGGTCCTAGATGACATTTCGTGTGTCTTTCAAGTCAAATGCAATGATTCCCACGGGTCCTTAGGATAGAAGACAAGCTCATTCTCCCTTTCTGGTTAGCTTACAGCCTGACTGCGTCCTGTGGTACAAAGTCAAATGCAAACCAACATGCAGGTTAACACTTCATTTTAAAGTCAGCCATTCAGGCGCTGTTTAAACAGAGGATCACTGTAAAGAATTTGGCCCCCTTCCCAGCCTCCTTTCCCTTGTAGAACAAGGTTCCTGGCCCCTGTGCCGGCCTTCCAGTAGAGGACACGGGGGAGAGACAGTCGATAAATATTTGCCCAACAAGTGCATGAAGCGGGGGTGGGGGGCGTGTTGGGGGGTTGAGGGTGGGATTTCTGAGGCAGGTGTCAGGCAGCCAGCAGAAGGCAGCCTCTGGGTGGGGGTCCTGTGTTCCTCCCTGGCGGGGGTGATTCTCTGCAGCCAGTGGAAGCACCAAGCTGTATCCCTTATCTAACCACTGCCAGAATGTTCCAGACTCCCCAGCTGAAGCCAAGGGGTACAAAGGATGAGGGAAAGAGGGGCATGGGAGAGCAGGGATACCCCCATTCCATTCTCTAGTGGGGCTTTTGACAGCTGAGCCCCAGGCAAGCACGACACTGGGCCTCCTGGTAATTAGCAAAAGGCCTTGATCAATAAGTTATTTTTTGCTGTCAGTAATTAATAATTACAGCTTAGCCACACCATGTAATTAAACTTTCATCCGCTCCCTCGTGTACTGTTGGCTTTTATTGTGATTAGCTCCCAGCACTAAACTCTCTCCCTTTGGAGCCTTTCAGGAGCCTCTAGAGCTGGGGGTTCCAGTCCTCTTTCAGGGTTTTCCCCACTGCCTTGTTCACTCGGCTCAGATTCCCTTCCTTCTGTTCTTCCCCTAGGCATAATTCTCTTGAAAGAAACTTCTGGACCATCGGGCTCGACTGCTCCTGCCCTCCTCCCAACCTCTCAGGCTGGCCAGGATGACCTCCAGCAGTAATCAAGCTTCCAAGCACATGAGAAATCTCTCTGAGGCTCTTGTTAAAAGACTTCCAGGCTCACCCAGACCTTTCCAATCACAGTGACTGGGAGTAGAGCCCAAGAATCTGCATTGCTACAACTCCCTGGGAGCTAAGTGCTTGAGGATCACTCTTGGAGACATAGTAATGTGGCCCTGAAAGGAAGTTAAAGAAACCTCCTGGGTAAGGAAAAAGAATTCAAGATCTTATTGGTGGGTGGCAGGGTACCATTCTTCATGGACTCCTAGCTTAGCGTTAAAACCATCATAACAGTAGTAATAATTGCCATGTATTAAGTACCTTCTGTGTGCCAGGCACTGGCTGGGCCCCTGTCCCCAGAATACCTTGAATTCTCCTAGCAATTCTATAAGGCAAGAGCTATTATTGCCAAGGTCCTGATGAGGAAACTGAGGCTCTTAGTGGCCAAGAGTCTTGCTGAAGGCCTCTGCAGCGAAGCTGCAAAGCCAGATCATGAGAACCCGTTCTTTCTGCTGCCAAAGGCAATGCTCTTTGACAACCTCACCGCACTTTGCTTGGGAAATGAGTTTGAATCATGTGACCCATCAGGTGTAGAGATGATGGTAAATGTTAGCTTTCAGTATATCCAGGTGATGTCTCTCAGATCCAGCACCTAAGAAAAACAACCAGGCTAGGCCCAGATAAAATCTGGTGACACTGGCCGATGTGAAGTTTGTCTCAAGGGAAGAACAATTGTTTGGTCCCTCATTCTGTGCCATGCCTTGAGAACCGGGCTGGGGGCTCAGAAATGACAGAGCTGGTGGCTTCAGCTACCCCCAAAGGATTAACGTCATGGCCTGAGACTAGGAGAAACTCATTCTCTAACTCCAAAGCAGATAAGAAAAGACCCTATGCCCTAATCCCACCCCCTCCAACCTCTAAACCCAGCACTGCCCAAGCCTAGGATCGCCTTCCCACAATCCTCTGCAAGGTTTGCTGCCGGGGACACACATGGCAGGAGGGCCTGATGCTGGAAAACACGCTCGGAGCCAGAGAACATGAGCAGAGCAGCAGGGACCTGGGCAGACTGACATGCAAAAAGGCAGCAAAGAAGAAAGGCAGAGAGGAAGTGAATCAATCAGAGAGACCTTCTCTGCTTCTGACAGGGGAGCCCCTCCTGCAGGAAGCGCAGGGGCAAGGGACCACCTGGCCTTAACTTCAGCAGGAGGGATGGGATCTTGGCCTCCAGTGGATAGCACAGGTGTGGGGGTGGGGCAGGAAGGACCATCAGGTGCCCTGGGGACTCCATAAGGGCCTGGTCCTAGATGAGACAGGAATTGGTGAGCCACCTGCCCAGGGAAACCATGAAGTTAGAAAGGTCCAGACAGATGCTAGGCATCCCTTTCCCTCCATGCCATCCAGGCTTTTGGCTACTAACACTGGTTATCTCAGAGCACAACCGTGAGGCCGCTCGAGGATGAAGGACAACCCATTCCTATTCGCCAGCATCAGGGTCCTCCTGGGACCCCGCAAAGAGGCGCCCTAGACAAAGAGACTCCAGGCGGCTGGTCCCGGTTTGAGGGAGAGGGCTCAGAACTCACCTGGTTCCAGACCTGCCTCTGCCCCCAGATCACGGAGTGGCCTTGGGCAAGTCACTTGATACCATTTGGCCTCAGTTTCCCTATCTGTTAAATGGCTGCTAGAATAAGACGACCTCTGAGCTCCTCGCTTGCTCCAAGATTTTATGATAATCATAAAAATAATAACTTTTATTACCTTACATTTATAGGGCTCGTTACAAAATTTCTAAGTGCTTTTACGTAAATTACCTCGTAAAATCCTCCCCTCAGCCCTGTGAGTGAGAGCTGATTATTTTCGTCTCTTTGATCTTGGCTCTCTGGATGGCCTGACGCTAGGCGCACGGGGGTTCCTTCTTCCCAGAAGGTCTGGAGGGCCAAGAGGCAGCGTGGGGAGTGGGTTGCAGTCCCCTGAGTCCGGCCCCCAGCGGGGTCTGGCCCCCTCTCGAGCTTGGGAGAGTGAAGGCCTAGCCCTGCGAGTCCTGGAGCTCAGTCCAGGCTCCGTCTCCCTCCACCCCCAGCAGGCGCCGCTCGGACACCGCTGACACCACTGTCTGGCTCGGCGAACCCCAAAGGCGAGGAACCGCCGGTGCAGCCGCCCTTCCCCGCGGGGACCTGCCCAGGGACCAGTGAGACGTCTGGGCATCCACCCTCAGGAAGCCGGCAGCGCAGGTCACGTCTCGGATCCTTCGCAACGGTCCCAAAACCACTAGCCCTTCACCATAAGGCTGCTCCCGGCAGCCACAGGTCACAGCAGCGAGCGGCTGCACAGACGATCGAGCGAACCGCGGAGGCTGGAGGCAGGGGCGGGGATGCTGGGTGCAGGTGGAGGGCTGGGAGGGGAGGCCTCAGACCCTCCCCTTGCACCACCCCCCGGTGGGTCCGCGGCTGCACCCGCGACCCCGGCTCCAGGCCCGCGCAGCGAAGCACCCCAGCCCCAGCGGCCGGCGGGGCAGCCAGGGGCGGGCAGCCAGGCGCGGGTTCCCGTACGTGGCCACGGCGGGCGATTACTCTCCCTGGGCGAGCGACCTGGCACCCAGCGCCCGCCCACCCCTTTCCCTCGCGCCAGGGAGGCCATCGCCTGCCCGGCAGACGCCCTGCCCTTCCCCGCAGACACGGAGCAGGGAACCAGGAGCTCAGTCTAGGGGAGCTCATTGGAGCCGAGCGCGGCGCCCGGCACGGAATGTCGCACCCCTCCCCAGCCAGCGCAGGGCATCCACAGCAAACGGGGGGAGGGGAGCGCCCCTCCCACCTCACCTTGGGCTCTTTTCTGCCTCCCCAGGTCGTCACCACATTCCCCCATTCGGAAGCCACAAGTCTCGGAGAGACTGCTCCACCCCCAAAAGAGCCCCAAAACTCGGGAGATGGGGGCGTCTTGAAACTCCCTGGAGAGGGCTCTGCCGCGGCTAAGCCGGGTGTCCAGGAGGCCACCGTGAGGCCGGCGGTCTCCCGCCGCCCCTCCCCCGCCCCCTCTGCCAGCTCCTTCCCCGTCCCCACGTGGGGGTCCCTCCTTACCTTGGGCTCCGGCCGCGCGGATCTGATGCAGAGCCAGCAGCGTCCAGATCCAAAGCCCCCACATGGTGACCAGCCTGGAGGGGGGTCCTCGAGGTCTCCCGTCCCTCCGCCCTGTTTTATAATCCTGGTGGGGTCCAGTACCCCGTGGCTCCGTCCCGGGAGACAGTCAGTCTACGCGGCTCCGCGCCCCGGGCGTATTAAGTCCGGGAGGGGCAGCGCTGGTCACCTCAACCTTTCCTCCTCCTCTTCTGTCCTAGTCCGAGCCCGGCAGCGCTCCCGGAAGGCGAGGGGCGAGAAGGCCGAAAGAGGCCAAGCCGCCCTCTCCGACGAGGGCGCCTCTCTCCGTGAGCACCCCAACTCCGACTTCACCCAGGCAGGGCTGCCTCTGCGATCCGGCCGGGTCGCCGGCCGAGCTCCGGAATAAACTGACAACTTCAGGAAACTTCCTCCCGTGGCCACGTTGCCCGCCCCCCGCCCCCTCCCCGCCCCCTGGTGGGGTTCTCTCGGCCAACGCAGTCACCACCGTTCCAGGCGCCGGGCCCCCGGGACCCGGCCCGAGCCAAGCGCGGCGGCAGACGCGTGTGCGGGGGTTCTTTTAGGGGCGCGGGTTTCGGGGGGCGCGGTGAGCATAGCGGTCCGAATCTCCCTGGAGCTGAAGTTTTCTTCTCTCTAACTTTGCAGGCGGCATCTGGCGGGGCCGAGCCACCCCTCTGGGCTCCACCGCCCTCGCGCCGAATCCAGACACTCCGGGTCCCCTCCCGGGGCGCCGAGGCCGGGCGCGCCCTGGGCTCCGCGCCCAGCCGGCTAGCAAACTTTGCGGGTCCCGGAGCCGGGCGAGCAGCCTGGAGCGCCCATGTCCGCGCCGGCCGCAGGGCGGCAGGGGCGGGTACTGGGCTCCGCGACGCGGGCTGTGGCCGGCGCCCGGGCGCGGAGCCTCCTGCCGGCCGGAGGATGGAGACCGGCGGCTCTGCCCTCCGCCGCGCCCCGGCCGGAGCTCTCAGGGAGGCGCACTGAGAGCCCGGCGGGCAGCCCCGGCTCCGGGGACTCGGCGCCCCCTCGGACGCCCGGCGATCGCCGACCTCCCTCCCGGGCCGGAGGAGCAGCGGCCGCCCCAGCGCCTCGGCCGCCGCCGCCGCCTTTCGCCGAGCCCGCCGCCCTCCGCTTCCCGGGCTCGGCGTCCTGAGAGCCGCTCCTGCCTGCGCCGAGCCGGAGCTGCGGGGGCAGCGTGAGCCGGGGACGAGCGCGGCGGAGGCGGAGGCGGAGACGCGGAGAGGGGGGCCGAGCGCTACCCCGTGGCCGCGACTGGAGAGCAGCCTGCGCGCCGGGAGGGGCGGCGGCGGCGGCGGCGGCCCCGAGCCAGGCCCGGGAGCGAGCCCCGCAGAAACACAATCTGACTGAGCGGCCGCGGGCGCCCACTGGCTCCGGGACCCGCCGGGGGGCAGCAGTGCCAACCTCCGGCCGCGCCGGGAGAGATGAGCGCGAGCCCCTCCGCTCTCAGCCCAGCCTGTCCTTCCAGCCTCGCCCGCACCCCTCTTTCAAAGACCTGACAGGACCCCCAGATTCTCCTTTAGCCGGGACCCCCGGCCTCCTTCCGGACATGGAGTGATGGGGGGGGGGCGGGGGCGGGGGCGGCGGTTGGGAAAAGGGCTTCGGCCCACCGGTGGATTCCAGTTTCTCCTGCCCAAGTCAGGCTCTCCAATGTCTGGAGATGGCTCAGGGCGGAAGAGGAGACACGGGAGGCTTGGGACCTGCAGAAGCCCCGGAAAGTGAAGTTGGTGCCAAGGCGCGTGCGTTCTATGTTTCTTTCCTCTTCGGAGCTCGGCTTGTAAAGGGTAGAAGAACGGGACATTGGTGGAGGAATTCAAACAAGTGAGGCCGGAGGCGTCCTCTGCTGCGGCCCAGAGCTAGCACGTCCTCCGAGAAGCTCCGCTAGGGCTCACAGGCTCCACTGAAACTTTCCTGGGCACCAGGAAAATTTAAGGGGCCTTCACCTTGGTAGACTCTTTCCCTGCAAACAAAAATATTAAAAATAATACTTTGCCACTGTGTTGGCATAAAGAAAAGTATAATTAACATTGCATAGTAAAACATGTGTTCAACCTAAAGCTTTATTTTTTTCTGGCTTTAAAAGAAATGAAAACATGTTCACGGGTCCCCAGAAGACGATGGGCCCTGGCCCTGAGCTTGAGGTGCTTAATGGAGAAGTCGGCCCTGCGTGTCTGATACGTTTTCTGGGAAACAAAGAGCTAGTGAGACCCTCCACTGTTTACCACAGCACTTCCCTCTTCTCTCTCTTGTGTCCTGCTTAGTCTGGGCCCCCACTGCTGTCTAGCCTTTCTGGTCCTTGAAGTCTAGGACAGTCACTCACTGATTGCCAGCTCTTTCCCACCCCAAGGACACCCCTTCTGATTGCTGTAGAATAGACACAGCCGCCGCAAATATATCCTTACTTACACAGTCTCATTTCACCTGCTTTGGAAGAAGAACCGTGAGCATTTATTGAAAATGTCTGAGAAGCTGGCCTGCCTTCCCTACAGCCCTTCAATCACGTAATTCAAACAAGGCTTCCCCCTGGCAACCTGTGCTACCTCCCCAGCTGAAGCCCCTCTGGCTGGCTGATTGGTAAATGGGAGGCCTTTGGGGGCAGGGAGCCTAGATGGTGGCCATGCCACGCCCACCTGCTTAATGATGCCCAGATGTGACAGTACACACCCTCTACGTACTCTGAATGTCCCCAGCTTCGAGCTCAGGCCCTTCCCAGACTATCAGGAAGAGCACTGGTCTTTAGGGTGCTGTTACACTGTTCGCTCACAGAGGGGGCCTGAGAGCCGTATTTGCTGAGAACCTCTCCTCTCTCTGAGGCCGGATAGCAGAAAGGGCTGCATCTCTGTTTACATCACAGAGTTGGGAGTTCGTGTGGACACAAAGGGCTGAAACCTGGGTGAATTCCACCCTAATCATGCTCAATTCCCAGAAGTCCGGCAGCCAGGAATCTGAGCCTCATGTGCCTCGGGCCTCAAACAGCGTCACTCCCTTATTAAGAGGAGGCCTCTTGCACAACCTTTTGAAGGCCTGCAAACCTTCTTGTGGGAGTTTAATCCCTAACATGTGGGACGGGGGGCCCACCAGGGGCTGGGGCGAGGAAGGAGGTTTTTTTTTTCTTTGCTGGAAGTCTCCAGGCGTGCCTGCAAGTTAGAGAGGAAAGGATGTCACTCCACCTGCAGCTCCTATTACAAATTTCTGTCTCTATCCATCTAGGATGAAGATTTGAGCTCTTTTTGGCCACAGCCCATACACACACACACACACACACACACACACACACACACAGGAAGGAACTCTCTGATTTTGCTTCTTGCCAGAGTGTTGCTGGCCCGGGAGAAGGCTGAGCTGGGAGTCTGCCACTTTGAGAGAGGCTGGTAACTGGGAAAGTCACTTGCAGACAGCATGAGCTCATTCTTGCCACCAGCGGTATAATTAGAGGTTGCATCGGTGCAGCTGCAGCGGACGCCACGTCAGGAGGGCTGCGAGGATTTCCCAGGCTCTAATCCGTTTCCTCGTTGCAAGCCTGCCCCTTCCTGTTGGAGCCCACGCTGACAGCTCTCCCGGCACACTCGGACGGGACCTGGGTCTTCCTCATCTATATCCCATCTCCCTCCATCCCCAGGTCCCGCACCTTGTGGAAGACCCTCCTCTCCAAACATTTGGCTCGGTAAATTCCAGAGGAGGGGGAGGACGCAGAGAGCATCACAACACATTTTCAAAGAGAAGGAGAAGCCCGGGTCATTCTGCTCTGTCTCCTTCTCCCTTTCCAAGTGGATGTGATTTTTCAAATGTCACCCTTCTAGGAAAACACTCACTGAACCCCAAATAGGGCCATTTTCCTAGCCTTTCATCCCACATGTAGTCAATGAAAGGGCGCCCCTGCAGAATCTTGAGAGGGAGCCTTCGGAGTGGGAGGTGCGTTACCCCATGTCCCAGCCAAGGAGCCAGAAGGCGAAACCCAGGACAGTCAGAGGGAGCTGCTCAGCCACAGAAGGCCTAGATCCTCCTTAGCCCGCCATCCCTCCCCATCGAACTCCATTTCCCCCACAAAAACCAAAGGCTGGGCAGGGACAGAGTCAGCTTTTCAATATGGTTATTGTGTGTTTTTTTTTTTTTTTTTTTTTTTCTATGTTCAATCTCAAATGTAACAGCAGCTAGAACAGAGCGTGCAATTGCAGGGTGAGATTGTATCCTCTGGCAGTCCAGATCTGTGCCAGGGACTGGCAGGGACCAGCCACGAGGCAGTGACAGTGACACCAGGGAGGTGGCGGCACGTGCTTTCACTCCCTCCCCATGCCCTGTGCCTACTCTCTCATCCCAAGTTCTCTGCTTCCCAAGTTGCTGGGGGCTGCCCTCCACCAAGGAGTGCACTGTGGTGGCGATTTTGCTGGGGCTAAGAAGGCGGCAGGAGTGAGCGCAAGGGTTGGACAAGCTCGGTTTAGAAGAAAAATGAATGAGACCAGAAGGGTAGGCAGAGTGGAGATGGCTTTTAAAGTATGGGGCAGCAGAGCAAAATCACTCATTTGTGCTTCCCAGCAGTGCCGTTCCCGGCGTCTTGTTCCTCATCGTGAGGCTGCTCTCAGGGTTGCTGCAGGTGGGGCTGGGCCGGGAGCCCCCAGAGTAGAGACTTTCTCGCAAAGCCACCTACCCCACCTGCAGGGAACTGAGATACCTCACTGCCTTGAAACAAGGGCTTCCAGTAAATAACTCGTGGCATTCATTTTTCATTTTTGTTCTGTGTTGAAGATGGAGAAAGGGAAAGAGTGGAAGGGGTAGAAGTGGTTTGTTAATCTCAATCGGAGAGAGAGGGGCCCGAGTCCCCGTCTCAGCTCCAGCTGTCATAACGAAACACCGTAGACTGGGCAGCTTCAGCAACAGACATGTTGGGTTGTTTGTCAACTTTTTGTTTTTATTCTGGAAAATGTTTTCAACGTGCATAAAAGTAGAGTGTCTAGCACAGAGTTCTGCCGTTCAGTATGGAAACCAAAAGCCGTGAAACAGAGCACTTCAGATTGGGCTATGGACACATGTCGGAATGATTCTAGTTTGAATCTATTGAGTTAAAGATCATTTAAAAAATGGATTCACGGGCCGCGCGCGGTGGCTCAAGCCTGTAATCCCAGCACTTTGGGAGGCCGAGGCAGGCGGATCACGAGGTCAAGAGATCGAGACCATCCTGGTCAACATGGTGAAACCCCGTCTCCACTAAAAATACAAAAAATTAGCTGGGCATGGTGGCTCGTGCCTGTAATCCCAGCTACTCAGGAGGCTGAGGCAGGAGAATTGCCTGAACCTAGGAGGCAGAGGTTGCGGTGAGTCGAGATCGTGCCATTGCACTCCAGCCTGGGTAACAAGAGTGAAACTCCGTCTCAAAAAAAAAAATGGATT